TTGTTGTGCAATTAGGCCAATGGTAAAGAGAGACATTGATGACCTTGTGTCCCTTTTGTTGGTACGTGGTTCCATTCTATCTATGGCCTTGGACGATTTCACTAAGTCACCCAGTTCTGACAGTCCGGCTGAGTGCAGTCACAGAGATGCTATGGCTGCTCTACATGAAATGACATTCCCAGAGACAATGAACAATACTGTCTCACGTGGGCCACTCCCCCCACCAAGCCATGAACTGAAAGCTTGACATCTGCTTTGAACACCTGGAAGCCTCCCGGTCACACCAGCACCAACCCTTGGGTCAGTCAGATGAGACTAACGGCTTAACTTAGGGCATTTGGTTCAGAAATATGACTCTCGTTACCGCAGAGTGGGTTGTTTTTTTTAAGGCTATTCATACTGCTATGCAGAGGATGCCTGTAGGTTGGCAAGCTGTTAAAAGCCCCTACTATTTTTAAAAATAGGCCTAATGTCAGGGGCCTCTTAGTTCACATTATATGGACAATGTTTCCACCTGGTAAAACTAAAGGCTGCACGGTACTCAGGCTACAATACGACCATTCTGTTCTGCTCTAACGATTCAATTGATAGATTCTACATCAAAACAATTAGCTTTTATTGTTTCATTTTAAGTGGAGGAATGCAAACCTGTTTTCAAATGTAAGGTTTTGAATGTGTTTGACATTTCTCAGTAATAACACCCTCAGACACCCACTATCATTCATGCTATGCCTTCAGTGGTAACTCAGATGTTAAGGGGATGAAGCTTTTCCTCCCAAATCAGATATGCTTTGTTTTTCAACAAGGGTATGCATTTCCTGCATAATATATGTTTCTCACAATTGTTTGTTTTTTTGTAAGCTGCACACAGGTGATACTGAGTCTTCTCGAGTAATAGATTACACCATGCTTAAATAGACTCCTAAGTTATTATTTCATATGAGACATATGTAAGAAAGGGGAGAGAAGAGTCAATTATATTGAGTAATTGATTTTATATTGGAACATTTATTTCTCAAACCTGTTTTATGGAAGAGGAAAATATTTCTGATAAACTAATCTTCTATCAAACGGTAAATGGTGAATTAATTTAACATTTAGAATCATTGAGAAGGGGTGATATCCACAGGGACTAGCTCACCTTTAAATTACAATAACATTTCTCTGCTTTGGACTGATGAGTTTATGATTCTTGCATGTTAAATGACTAACACAAACCTTACATTTATGCATGTCCATGTGTCAGGAAGGCTCCCAAATAATTCTGAGGGGCCTATCCTATTTTTGTATTTAAATGATAATGTGCTAATCCATTACTTTGAGTTGTCGGCACTCAGGAAAACATCCCTATCAAGTGTTACCCCAATAACTAGGACAGCTCTGAAGGCCAAGGGTCAGAGAGAGAGGGTCACACTCTCCGGCTGCAGAGGGCACCCCCAGCCACGGGCAAGGAGGCACGAGGTCGTTTCGAGATGAGAGGATTCTAATCTTCAACTATCTGAGGAGATGGGATGCTTCTTCATCTTTCTGCTCGGTGGGCTCAGGCAGACAACCCTGTGGGACGAGCGAGGACTTCAGAGGCTTCATACAAGGTTCCTTGTTTCTTGGAGGATCAGATGTCTTCCTAACCTCTTCCATCACGGGGGGAGACCTGGATGCTACACTTGGAATACGCAGTTCTGTCTGGTACTGCTCTCAAGCAGATAGCAGAAGGAATGCAGGCAGATGAGCCTCTGTTTCACTGGGGGGATCAACTACAGTGCTCACTGAATGAGCCACAAAAGCAGAGCAATTGGGGGGTTTAAATATGGCGCTCTGATGAAGAGTTTGAGCCAATCAGCACCTCCGTGCTAATCTACAGTATCAGGATGCCTTTACACACCAGACACTCGTTGTCATAAAGAGAGGAGGAGAACGAGTCAGAAAGACTGAAGGACACGTTTTTCCAGCTCTCGTACAAAGATGAACTTTGAATTGATTTGATATCTTGGATGTTTACAGATGTACAATTAATGACTGTCTTTATATTTCCAATGACCAGACATGTGTTGAATAGTGGTGATTAATATATTTTTGCCGGATCAGATTACACTTTCGCACTAAACAAAATTAATTCAGATTATAAAGTATTGAATCATAAGATATTTCTACTATTATCACAGATAATGTTAATATCCTTAATCGTCCAGCAATCAGGCTTAACAACACTACTCTTTAATGTATTATCCATGCACGGAAAGACCTACAATGATGTTTCAAGTACTGGATTAATTTCAGTTTTGGCCCAAAACAAATATTTATAATATTTCATATAACAATTATGTAGCATATTTGATCCTCAAATTAGAGAAGTATAATTTAAAGAAATTGATATTCTCAACATTAGATAAACACAGAAGAATCCTTTCCAAGTACCATAAGTAGCTCAGGTAAGTATGGCTAATAGGAATAATTGATAGACTTATTTGGTACAGATCAGTGGTAGCATTCACAAATGTAATAATTCAAGTTTTAAGAATGTTTAATCCTTCCTTTCCAGGTTTTTACAAAAGTCTTTGAATATTTGCCTAACTTTTCCTTTTCAGATTTTGAACAATGTACTTGACTAAAATGAATGTATTGATTTCACTAAGTGCCTTACTCTTGACTAAAGCGTATTTAACTAAACGTAAAAGTAATCCTAAAATGGAGGACACTGCACTTTTGCAGATTACAGATTGATCAAATCACCATTGTGAATTCTATACTCTAACTGTGAATGTTTAGCTGGATCTCTTACGATCCTGAGTTTTAAAATGCTTTTGACTAGTGATTGCCTTGAAGTAAATCTTTAAAGCGGCAAGCTGGTTTTGATTTTATAGTTTGATGAATGAAATTAACTAATGATAAATGATAAAAGATATTAGTTTAAAACAAATATTTAGCTATTGTGCACCTGTGTTTTATGTGTGTTCATTATTATGCTTTTGACAAAAGATGATCAAACACTGATGAGATGATTTTTTCTATTATGATTGGCTGTATCAATCATTGTGATTGAATGTTTCAATCTTATTCTACTTTGTGATGTAATTAATGTAAGGTGAGACCACACTCGAATCTGGAGACGCCTATTGAGTTAATTATTGACCAAATTATTATTAGACTAATATTTTTAGGTTATCATAAATGATAAAAAGAGTGGACTGTTAGGGAAATAATTGTCCTCGACTCCTAGATATGACGTACAGGACCAACCCTGACGTCTGTTTACCTTCTTTAAGGACACAGGCTGTTTCAGCCAATAATGTTATTGTTCCCATTCTGTGACCGGTCAATACTGGGTCACAGATGGTCTGTATTGTGGGTACACTGGGACACTTCCTTCTCTGTTGTCTGAGGACTCCAGGGCATGACATATCCAAGGCCATAAGTGGCGGAAACTGGTAACTTAGTGTGCCCAAACTATCTAAAGCTATCTTATCAAAACATGTTGATGACTCTCTGTGGAACCAGTTAAATGGGCTGGCAAGAGAGAGGCTCTCCAGAATTGACGTGGCAACTCTACCGTGAAGTCAGAACCTCTGGCTCTTGGACTTGTGATGTGAATCCTCCGGCCGTAACTCCAAATAAACCATCAGTGTTTGACATCAAAGCTACTGCTCCTACCGTGTCTCCTTCCTGAGTCGGTGACTCCCACTGCATAGCTACACAGAAGTTTCCTCTACAATATCCACTAGAAGAAATTATTTGTATTCTATTTTTGTTAATCCTACTCTGTAGAGATGATGTGAAACGTAAGCACTTTCAGTTTCTACTTTTACAAATTCACACAATTTAGATTATCATGTGTAGAAAAGGATTTTGTCAAATGTAACTTTTGGATAAATTGTGTGCACCACATTCTTTACATGTATTACTCCTTACTTATAATATAGAAAAAAAATTGAATATATCGTTATTGTCATCATACAAAGTATAACGACATTTCTTTGGCATCTCTCACTGCAGTAATACAAATATTTATAAAGAATTGTGGTTGTAGTCTTTGAGGGGTAGGGAGGGGTGTGTGTGTGTGTGTGTGTGTGTGTGTGTGTGTGTGTGTGTGTGTGTGTGTGTGTGTGTGTGTGTGTGTGTGTGTGTGTGTGTGTGTGTGTGTGTGTGTGTGTGTGTGTGTGTGTGTGTGTGTGTGTGTGTGTGTGTGTGTGTGTGTGTGTGTGTGTGTGTGTGTGTGTGTGTGTGCTGTTGTAATGTGCTCTGAGGTTGGACAGGGATGGGACAGGTGGAGGCCACAGCTCTTTTATTGTATCATTACTTTGTGCCCTGTAGTGAATCCTGATCTTAGGTTTTTATTTCCTTGCAAGCTAAACTAGGCCAAGGGCATCTTTCCATTTTAAAGTGGTGAGACCAAAAATCTAAATTGCACTTTTTACTGCAGATTCTGTGCAATGAAAGCCTAATTTTCATTGTTTACTGAAGGCAAAATAAAGCAAAATAGTCAGATTACATTAGCAAGGCTATTGTGCAGTTGCTTTATGTATTTCCTCCTAACACATATTGAAACCTGTGTCACATAACGCAGCCTATTACAACATTTGAAAGAAAAGAAGATCTGTGACCTCATCAGGCCCATTCTTCTTCTGTTGTCGGGCTGTTAAAGGACCCACTGAATCTTTCATAATCTTTTGATGTGTGTGTGGCGGGGGAGGGGCATACGAGTTCAAAGGGAGGCCTTGCTTTGTACATTACTTGAAATGTTTCCATTATATCTCCACACTGATTATTCTACAAAGCTTTGCTTCAAAGACACATCATTATCATGGTCAACACGCATAAACACGCATAAAGATCTACAAGACGTTTTTTTGTTAATTGAATTATGTAAGATATTTAGGATGAGAAATTATTTTATTGATAGGAAAAGCTGCCTGTCACTCAGCATATTCCGGCAGCAGCCATATATACACCAACACTGAAACACATGAGCACACACTACAGTTTAAAAAAGCAGAAATCAAATCTGAGCTGACAGAAAATGCTCCGTTTCAGTTTAATACACACAGTTAAGCTCACACACACTATTCTATGAACAGGTTCAAGCCTGAATATTAGATACTAGTGTTGACTGGCAGGGCCTCTCATTGTTCTGTTGTCTTACATAAATAATACACTTAAGTAAAGTAAAAACACCTTGTATTTATTTGCATTGTGTTTGATATTGCGGTAATCAAAAAGTGATAAAAAGTAATCAGGTTACATTAATTTTATATTTTGATACTCAGATTAGGTTACGTTTAAATTACATTCAGGTAACTAGTAATTGTAATAGGCATTTTTAAAGTAACCCCCCCAACCTTATTTATACTATCACTATTATCACCCTGTATACATGATGTTGTAAATTAAGACTCAATCTCAGGTCTATATATAAGTATATAATATATAATAGGTCTTATCATTACTTTGGTGCAGTGAACTAAAATCAAACACTGGAAAACTGTGGAAGAAAACAAAACAAAACATTAAATCTATCAGTTACTTATCCATCTTTATGGCCAGTTAGTTGTGTCGACTCAGTTTAAGGAATCCTGTCTAGTGGAAGAAACAAAGTACATTTACTCAAGTACTATACTTAAGTATAAGGTACTTTACTTGAGTATTTCCATTTTATAATACCTCTCCACATTTACATTTTGCAAGCAAAATTGTACTTCTTACACCACTACATTTATTAACAACCATGGTTACCTTCCAGGTTCAGTTTATCAATACAATATAAACCAACTAATACATTATGATATACAAATATGGACTACGATCCCCAATAAAAAGTCATTTCCACCTTTACCAACTGCAAAATATACAATTTATGTAATTTGATTATAATCCAGAAATGTAATTATAGTAATACATCGGGAATAAACAATGTAAACATTGTAGGTTAGGCACCACTTCAAGTTATAAGTGTAGAGTGCATAAGGGCTTATAATATATGGTGCAACTATATGATGGCCATCCTCATGCTCCATCATTTCCTTTCAGTTTGTGCAGACATTTTTGGGGGTTTAAAACATTTGTTACACAGATCAGGAGCCACATTACATTTTTTACCCCCTCCAAATTTCCACATTAAGACCTTGAAAAATGATAGAAAAAGTCATCCTGGGATAAAGGATCATAAACTTCTGACCATTTCTTTAGAAACCCACTTACTGTCAATATGTCAAAGAAAACCATACTGAATAATATAATATTGGGAGGGATGAAACCCTCTTTAATGGTCACACATGCAGAGCACACAGCACACACAGTGACATGTGTTCTCTGCTTGTAACCCATCCTAGTACTAGGAGCAGTGGGCAGCTATTGTACAGCGCCCGGGGAGCAATGGGAGTGAGGGGGGAAGGGGGATGTCCGGTGCCTTGCTGAAGGGCACCACGGCAGGGCAGGAGGTGAACTGGGACCTCTCCAAGTAGCAGTCCACACTCCATATTTAGGTCTGGTCGGGGACTTGAACCGGCGACCCTACAGCTCACAGTCCAATCCCCTACTGACTGAGCCACTGCCGGAATGTCCTCATTCTGTGGTTCCTAGCTATCAGCTCACAATAGGTCATTTTATACAGCAATGTCCAGTTAAAAAAATGGTCTCACTGCAACTGGGACCAGCATCATTCCACGTTGGACTCATTGGATCCACAAGAATCTCAGCTTTCAAGTCCTACCCAATTTCCCAGGACTGCTTAGCGATTTCTAGCATGCAGACATATGCAAATACACCGTTTACGGCTTGTGGTGCTCCATGGAGCCAGATATCTTGAGGTGAGTGGTTAATGGACCCCTGTGAACACGGCCATGCCAGTTTTTAACTTCGCCAAAAAGTTGCCTAACTTTTTAGCATTACATTGTGGAAATGGATACCTTTCTCATTCATATGATACCAATGTCTTCACTGTAGCTTTCAAACCTACGCAGCCTATGAAATGGGCGTTTAAAGTGAATAGTCCACCTTAAATGTAGAAAACCCCCTTGATAACTGGTAAATTGATCATTTCTTCCCATTCGTGAGTGACTTTCCAAATGTAGTTTTATTCCTGTATGTAGAAGCCTACTTGTGTTTTTGTGTAACACCTGTATTTAAATGTTCTATTTACATCAAGCAAAAATAAACCTGTATCTCTGAACTTTGAGTTAAATATACCTGGAAGAATCTCTTTGAATAGGATGGTGTATTTAAGGTCATTTTATATTGCAGACACACACAAAGCAGAAAGTAGTAAATATTGGTAAAATAAAAGGAATGTGGACCCTTTCAACAACCCCCAAAAGGTGGCAGAATTTTTAAAATAAGTCAGAAAAAGAAAGATCTTAAATATTAACACGCTCATGTTCAGTAAGTTAGGTAACTTAATTAACTCTTATGACCAATGGAAAAAAAGAGATAAATAAAATGTGCATTTTGCTATTAAAAACAACCACTTCTTGTTATTTCACTATTGAGAACTGTATGGTTCTTTGAAGCAAAATCCACAGAATATCTAATAAATGCTAATTCATCACGCTGAAACAAGGCCTGGAGCAGCGCTTCCTTTGTTCACGAAAAGCTGATATGTTACAGGTTCTTAGTGTCATTCCAAAATAATCTAACTAATAAATATCTTAAAATAAGACCAACATCAAAAATATGACCACGAATATAAAATGTGATGCTGATGTTTGAGGTTGACGTCTCTTTCTTTTCAAATCCATCAAATCTGTTCAGCTTCTGATTCGTTCATGATTCGTTTTTTATCCCATTATATAAGAAGATGACCTGTGGTAGATAGAAGAGGATGCAAACACACCAACAGACTGAGAAAGCAAACACTCCGCCGAGGAAGAAGAATCCGTTAAGACATTTTGCAGAAGAACTATTCCTTTGAACACAGAACGTGTCAAAGCAAAGTGTCCATGAGACGTCGGAGGAGTCTCCTGTAAAAACCACTTCAGTTAAGTGACTCCATGGAGGTGCCTTGTGTCGTAGAGAGAGGGATGGACTCAGGGTCAGTCAGCTTCCTGCCCTCACTCACCCACACTCCCGATGGGGGGGGGGGGGGGCATCCCACACGGACCCCTCAGCTCGTGGTCACGTCAGATTTTGGCAGCAGCTCCAGACTCTCAGCAACTTCCCCCAACTCATCCAGCAGCTCTGTGAACGCTGGCCGTCTGAAGCACTCCACCTGAGGGGGGGAGAGGAGGGGGAGAGGAGGGGGAGAGGAGGGGGAGAGGAGGGGGAAGGAGACGAGTGGGGAGGAGAGGAGGAGAGGAGGGAGGGGAGGGGAGGGGAGGGGAGGGAGGGAGGGGAGGGGAGGGGGAGAGGGAGGAGCGATCTGGTTCTTAACTTGGCAAAAAGAGAAATACAACCATATTGAAATACTTTCCTATTTTCATAACTATACTGAAGAAAAAAAGGAAAAGTCTATTATATTTGACTTAAACAGAGGTGGAAGTAGCACTAAGATCTTGTCTGCATTAAAGTGTTATCAAAACTGGTAAAGGTGGAACCCATTTCAATTCCTTTATTTTCAATTTTAATCCAGGTGTAACTAAAGTCTGATTTAATTGTTGATCATATTGTTTAACATTAATCTATATCTGCAAAGTAACTAAAGCTAAACTGAAACCATCCATCCATCTTCTCCCGCTTATCCGTGGTCGGGTCGCGGGGGTAGCAGTTCCAGCAGAGAGCCCCAAACTTTCCTTTCCCATCAAACAGCTCTGACTGGGGGATCCCAAGGCGCTCCCAGGCCAGCGAAGAGATATAATCCCTCCACCTGGTCCTAGGTCTACCCCTTGGTCTCTTCCCAGCTGGATGTGCCTGGAACACCTCCCTAGGGAGGCGCCCAGGTGGCATCCTAACTAGGTGCCCGAACCACCTCAACTGGCTCCTTTCGACGCGAAGGAGGAGCGGTTCAACTCCGAGTCCCTCCCGGATGACCGAACTTCTCACCTTATCCCTAAGGGAGACACCAGCCACCCTGCGGAGAAAAACCCATCTCGGCCGCTTGTATCCGCGATCTCGTTCTTTCGGTCATGACCCATCCTTCATGACCATAGGTGAGGGTAGGAACGAAAATGGCCCGGTAGACAGAGAGCTTTGCCTTCTGGCTCAGCTCCCTTTTCGTCACAACGGTGCGGTAAAGCGACTGCAGTACCGCTCCCGCTGCTCCGATTCTCCGGCCCATCTCACGCTCCATTGTTCCCTCACTCGAGAACAAGACCCCGAGATACTTGAACTCCTTCACTTGGGGTAAGGACTCATTCCCTACTTGAAGTGGACAGTCCATCGGTTTCCTGCTGAGAACCATGTGGGTGCTGATCCTCATCCCAGCCGCTTCACACTCGGTTGCGAACCGATCCAGTGAGTGCTGAAGGTCGCAGACCGATGAAGCCATCAGAACCACATCATCTGCAAAAAGCAGTGGTGCAATCCTTACCCCTCGATTCCACCGGGTCCATCTGCGTTGTGTAACGGTTGCGCCGCGGTTTTGGTCCGGCCTCCTCCGGCGTCATACCCTACCGGGCGCGTTTCAGAAGCATTTCAGAAGCGGAGCGTCTTGCCTGCCGGCTCGCAGTTTTTGTTGATTTGGGCATATTTCCTGGACAGGCTACTTTGTACAGACAAAGTTAATAACAATTGTAATATCCCAGTTATAAACGACATGAATCAAAGATGTGTTGCTGTATTTTAGTGGTACAAAAATGCATTTATCATCAAAGCTTAATTAAAAAAAAAAAAAAAAAAAACTTTAAATGGGAAAAAAAGTATTCAGTTATATTGTCTATTCTATTAATATTGAAAGCTCTACATACCATACAGCAGCTGGCTGCTAACTCCAGGAGACGTGGAGGACAACCAGTCACCAGCTCCCTGAATGCATTCACATCCAGCCCATAGTCCTGAAACACATGGTCAGCTGAAGCATGAGCGCATATTATATAAGACATTTTGATTGAAGGGGTTCATATTTGTATTTGGCCTCTGCTGTGACTGCTTTAATGTTCAAAACTCTCTTTATATTCCTCATGCTGCTCTGAGAAAACTGAAACGTTGACTTTAATTAAATGTATTATGTCAACAGATTTCCCATAACTGTATTAGGTTAGTTGAAAGAAGTATTAAGTTTAAATATAAATATACTACTGTAGGTTCAACTTAATATGATTTGAATCAACCTAATACAGTTTTGTGAAATTTGATGACATAATACATTTAATTAAAGTCAGTGTTTCAGTTTTTTCAGTGTGTCTGACCTGCAGTTAATATTAGGTAACTAGTAATTGAATCGGAATTATTTTAAAAGTAACCCTCCCAACCCTCTTAGTTAGTAACCTTAATGGTGTTGCATATGTTTCCCCATGTTTCCTGTTAGATGGCTCAGCTAGGCTAAAAGCCCATTTAGCTTCTTGTTAAATGGAAACTTCTTATGGGGATTTTCTTTAATGTTCTACACAAATCAAAACAAAGTGACTGTAGTCTCAGTATCAGGTCAAGGTAATAACATGGTCGACCATTGATATGACTGGGTGTGTAATAACAGGCTTCTGTTCTCTACCTGTGTTCTGGGTAGTATCTCTGGGTCCGCTGGGATCCTGGCCAGAATTTCACAGAGAACAATTCCGAAGGAGAAAACATCCACCTGCAACAAGTAAGACATAAATAACTCAAGCTAATCCCAAATGTACTGTATTGGTTGTTTCGACACCAAGCAGCAAAAAAGCACAACAGTTACAATACTATACAAGTGTGTCATCTAAACATACACTAGAAGTACATTGTATTCAACATTACAGCGAGCATGTGACTTCTATGTGTCCAAAATGTATGAGAATGTGCATCCAGCTGAGGCAGTGTTCCGTACAAACAGAACTGTGTGTCACCTTGCGGTCGTATGGCTCTCCTCGGAGCATCTCAGGGGCCATCCAGAAGGCGGAGCCCACCAGGGACAGCTTCCTGCCGGGGTCTTTGACTGGCGGCTCCACCACTTCCCTGGCCAGGCCGAAGTCGGTCACCAGAGCCTCCCGACCTCGAGACGTCACCCGGATCAGACAGTTCTGGAGCGACAGGACCAAGGTAGAGCGGTACAGGTTAATCAACCTGCAGTGTTATATATACCAACAGGGGGAAGTGTTATGTCTGAAGAGGCAGCAGCTAGTTATTGTGTTCATGTAATTGCTACAGTTTGTTTCAGATGCTCACACACTTAAATGAAACATAAAGCATCATTATTTAAACTGACACGCAGAGAGCAAATCTCAGCCTAGATCTCATATCAGCACGTTTAAAAAGAAAAGGGCTCATTTTCCAAACACCTTACACAATTCCCAAAACCACCCACCCAAAGTGCAAAACACCTATATTCTGCAGAATGAGGCACTGCACTCAAAACTGATGTACATCAAATCAAAATCAAACTGTTGCAAGACATGACACACCCTTCGTTCATATTACCAAACCTTTGTCCAACAAACTACAGTGTTTTGAGAAAATGAACATCTGTTAGCAATTGCAATAAACTGTAATAGTAAATTCTTGATCTTTACATGGGCATCCATTGATAGGCATGTGCGCCCAAGAAGAAAGTAAATAATTGTGTCTGAAAGAAAAAAGCAATTATTTATGGCTTTGTTTGTTTGTGTTCATGTGTGTAGGTGACATCAGAGATCGGAGGAGCACCAAGCCAACTGTTTTGAAAGCTACTAAATGTCAGTTTGATCACACCAGATCCTGAAATATCTTTATATTCAGGGCGGGAAAGTGGCCAAGCATCAAGGTGCAAACAATCATCTTGTGACAAAGATTTTTTTCTGGTATTCACATACTTCCTGTTGTTAAAGAACAACAACATCAGTGTTTATTTGGAGTTGTGTTTCTGTCCACCTGGCAGATCAAAGGCAGAATTCACTTGAATCACTGTTTAGCCTTCACTAACTTAGTCTCTAGCTGCTGTTGAGTGATTCTGTTCACCAGCTGAGAGTGGGCAGTGTACAGGGACTTTTTCACACTGCTGCCTGAAGAGCCTGTACACCAAGAGAGAACAGTAGACCACGACCATTTAAAACCATTTAAAATGATGTGAAACATGTGTGAAAAAGTCTGAAACCTGAAACAATGCAAAACAATGTAAAATAATGTAAAGAAGTGTCAGAAAGTGTGAAACGATGTGAAACAGAGTAAGACAAAGTGCAGCAGTGTGATTCAGTGTAAACAATGTGAAGCAGTGTAAGACAATGTAAGAAAAATGAAACACAACTTGTAACAGTGAGTAAGTGGGAAACAATGTGAGACAATGTGTAACACTACAAAATAATGCGTAAAAATGTGGAATTAAAACTGCGGTCACAGTCGTGCGCGCAGTGATGAGCGGGCCCTCGCGTCTATGCGCCTGTCGGGGAAGGTCGCCGGTAGTCGGGGAGGGTCGCCGGTAGTCCCGGAGTCAAGTCGACGTGCAAGAGTACTCCGAAATGAGCCGTTTGTCATTTCTCTAATTTTCGCGTCCTCGACTCTTCGGTCCTCCAGCAGCGACCCTGCACCTGGTGATGACGGCGGAGCGTGGCAGCCCATCTGCTCCCAGCAGGCGCATCAGGCTGGGCAGATAACCTCTTGCTCTTCCGCAAGATGCCCCCACCTCACCGGATCAGAGCGATTATTTGGCCGCAGCATCGGCCAAATTAATAGCCTGGTCTACGGTGTGGCCGCCGCTGCTTGCCGTGTGATGTCCCTGGGGGATCACGCCGCATGAAACTTTCCAAAATAAAGAAAAGAAAAAAAGACCGTGATGATCTCCTGGGAGTCCCCGTGTCTACGGAAGGGCTCTTTGGATCGATTTCCTTGGTCACGTGGATGAGGAGTAGTCGCAGTTTGGCGTATGCTGCTTCTTGCTCATCCACAGAGGACAGAACACTGTCCCACACTCGCCGCCCCGCTGTAACTCCAATAAAGGAAGCAGCAGGTGGGCGCGCGCACGTGAGTGGAATAAACCGCAGAAAGTGCTGTCAAAGCGACGCTATTGCCGGCGTGCTGTTGTCAGAAAACACACCTTGCCTGGTATAATAGCTCCGATTAATGCATTTCACCGTTGAATGTGAAACACAGCGTTAATACGAAGGTGCGCGGCCCCGTGAGAGTGGCGGCGGTGCATTCAAGGACCTCCGCAGAAGAACGGTGGATTACGTATTGTAACCAGGGGCGGCGCCAAGGGGGAGCTAGGGGGTGCTGAAGCACCCCCCAGGATTGCCAAAGCACCCCCTAAGCACCCCCAAGAAATATGTTTTTGGGTTTTTTTTGAAAATTATTATTATTATTATTAAATTAGAAAAATTATTGATTACATCAATGCATATGTGAAACAAACACATTTTTTTTACCAAAAACATAAAGCCAACACAGGTGATATGATTAGGCCAATGGCCAGCACCAATTCGACTTTTGACCTACTCATAGGCTAAATTACTTTGTGACACTTGAGTGACTTCCTGTTAGCTAGAGCGCCAAATGATTTGCTAACAGCAATGTGAAAGATGGATCGTTTTTTAGTCCTTAAAAGTCCACGTGTGGACACTCAATCAAAACCACCTGAAAGCGAGAGGGATTCTGCACATAATAGCCTAGCGTTCTGAGTACAAGTAGCTTCTCTGGTCTCTGTGTTTAATTCAAGCTCTGCTCTGTGTGTGTGTGGCACGAGCCATTTTGTGTGCGTGTGTGCGCGAGCGAGAGAGAGAGAGCCTCGCGCACCGGTGGGTATCTACTGGAGATCGTTGTGGTTAGCATCTGGTGCTAGCTAGCCAAGCTAACGGGTATAAGGAGCTTTTTCAACAACAAGGTGGAGGGAGAACTCTCTCCTGTCAGACTGAGAGTCTCAGATAACCTCAGCTCAGGTGAAGTAAAGGACTCTCAGTGTTTAGATAGTTAACTTTAGTCTAGTTATCTCAGTGGGTCTCAAACGATTAGTTTTAAAAGGGTGTGTGATTTGTAAAATGTCTATGAAGAAATAGAAAATCTGTTTACAGTTCTGTTTCATATGGGTGTTGAGAGATGTATCCATAGATCTCTTAATGTTGCTCTCAAAGTGCACCAGATTGATGCTTTTAACTTCAATATTTAAAAAAATCTTCCCGGGGGAGCATGCCCCCGGACCCCCCTAGAGGAGGTGAGGTCCACCCCCCACTTGTAAAAATAGCACTTTACCCCTGCTTACACCTATATGCCGTGAGCTGATTATCGAGCCTTCATTGTAACAGTCGCGGGTACACTGTGTGTGCGTGTGGGGAGTGTTGCATTAGAAAATTCAACTGTAGCGCTGGTACATTAATGGGAAACCCTTAATGTTTGAGCACCCTCTATGAAACGTCAAGCTACCCCACAGCACCCCCTAGAGAAACTCTCTGGCGCTGCCACTGATTGTAACCCTAGTTCTAGTAGAGTGATGTGTGTGTGAAAAATGCATTCAGTAAAAACGATAAAACCAGAGTAAGAGTGATCTCTCTCCACAATTCCACATTTCCCCATAATGTCCGTTTCAAAGAGACTGCATTATGACGGAGCCGCGGCCCCACGAGAGCGTGCCGCGGTGCGTTCAAGGACCTCAGTAGAAAATTGTCTCTTTCTGTGTCAGCACCCCATGGGCCAAACTTCCTTTTATGTAAGGTTTTGCAGCGGAGTAGGCCACCAGAGAGTACTACAGCTTCTTAGCTGCGGCTCCACAGCTGCTTGCATATCTCCTAACACAGTTTTATGGGGAATGGAACAGGACACTGAGACTGGGTTACTCACTCCAGTTTTGCAGCGTCCCTCCTCCATTCAGGCAAATCTATCATCCCAGGAGGAGATGGGTTTCAACAGAGATTCAGGCCCTGTTGCAAAAACAGGCTGTGTCTGTAGTGCACTCTCAGGACAGAAAAAAGGGGCTTTACTCCATGTACTTCCTGGTTCCCAAGAAGACAGGAGAATGCAGACCCATTCTGGATCTTCACAGCCTGAATCAGCACATTGCCTGCGAAAAGTTCCATATGTAAACCAATTACTGGAACTACGGCAGCCGGGCGATTGGTTCACAACCATCGACCTGAAGGACGCTTACTTTCATGTCAAAATTGCTCCAGAGCACAGGAAGTATTTGCGTTTTGCCTTCCAGGGGGTAGCCTACGAGTACAACAGACTACCGTTTGGCTACTCCCTATCTCCACGCATGTTCAGCAAATGTGTGACCACAGCGCTTAAGCCGCTCCGCGACCATGGCATGAGGGTTTTCTAATGCGACCTCATTGCCAGGTCCAGGGAAGGGGCACACACAGCCCAATTGATCCAAGTGGATTGCAGTCAATTGGAAGAAGAGCAGTCCCATAGCTCACCAGCAGGTGGAGTATCTGGGGATGTCGCTCGATGCAGGCAGACTACGTGCCACCCTGTCAGAGAGCAGACAAGCATCCCTGCTTCAGGCAGTTTTCAGACTGTGACAGGGGACAACGGTGACAGCTTTGACCATCATGCAGACTCTGGGTCTCATGGCGGCTGCTCACCTCATGGTACCGCTGGGGTAACTGCATATGCGTCGCCTGCAGAGGTGGTTTGCCGGCCTTCGTTTAGATCCCAAGAGGCACAAACGACGTCTGGTGACCACCCCACCCCCCTCAGTGGAGAGCAACCTCCGATACTGGGGGTCCCCAAAGTATCTGCGGAGGGGAACTCCGCTGGGGCAGGTGACCTCCTACATCACGGCATCCGTGACAGTTGCTTCACCTCATTGGGACATTCAATTACAACAGACACCTATACACAAGGCCGCCTTAACCTGCCATCAGGCCCTGGGGCTGTTTTGTAGGCCCCCTATTTAAACAACAAATCAAAGTCATTTATAGTATAGTCATTATTCATGTATTTGTCCGGTTGCCGTTGGCTCCCCTCCACGTAGCAAGTCCTCGTCGTCCTCTCCATATCCTCCAACAGATAATGTCCCTCCTGTCTGTTTTTCCTCTCCCGCTACTCCCGCTACTCCATCGCTATCAGAACCAGACGGCCTACTTGGCTCCGAGGCAGGCACCGCTGCCGCTCGGTACATAACTCATCTGTCCTTCCTCCTCATCCTGGCCTACAGGTTTAAAATAACCTGTAAGCTTCGGCATTTTTTGTAATAGCTGCTTGTCTCGAAACTCCTTTTCCCTCAACAATTTCCTTTTCCGAGCGCCACTCTCAAACTTTTTCTTCTCCGACATTTTCTCCTAAACAACCTTCATCTGTCACTCAATCACTCGCAATTTGGTCAATAAGTCACACGTGAAACATATTCTCATTCTGATTGGCTGTTAAGTGGTTCCCACTGACTGTTTCGGAGTCATCATTTGTGAGAAAAATCTCTGGAATCCATCGATCTCATTGATTAGCGGAGCAAATGATAAATAGTATGGAGGGAAGATATTTTCGTTTGGATTACTGGTCTGGGGGAAGCTCACGAGTGTGTGTGTGTATACGTGTGTGTCTTTGTGTATTTTTGCGTTTGTGTGTATTGTGTTTGTTTCCCGGGGAAAACACTTACGAGAAACACCGGCTGTTGTTATGCCTGCTGTGACGTCAAGTTACTCCGTTCTCCGCTTGTAATTATGCCGTTACAAGCTTCAAAGTTGTATTTATCATCTGAATTTGCCGAAACAAGTTTAATATTCTGATTATTATTATTTTCTATTTTTATTGGCTCATGATAGGCCCTCGATCTCCGTAGGCCCCTGGGCTTCAGCTCAGGTCAGCCCGTGCATTAAGGCGGCCCTACATCCACAACACACACCTACTCATTCTACAACACACATATACAGCTCCTAAAGCATATAATATATATCAGGCTACAGCCCTTGTAAACATCCGTTTCTGGGTCGCTGATGGAGGACCAAAGAGTCGAGGACGCGAAAATTTGAGAAATGACAAACGGCTCATTTCGGAGGACTCGTGCACGTCGACTTGATGCCGGGATGACCGGCGACCCTCCACGACAGGCGCATAGACGCGAGGGCACGCTCATCACTGCGCGCACGACTGTGACCTCAGTTTTAATTATATTTGTATTTTATTGTATCTTTAAAAAAAAATCACTTGTGTAATGCTTGCATGCTGCTGGAACAAAAATAATTTCCCAATTTTGGGATAAATTAAGTTTTTATCTATCTAGACAGGAAATAGAATGACAAAAAGAGAGTGGTTGATGAAACAAAGGTTCATCGTCAGGTCCTCAGTGTGCCGGCCACCAGGGGGCTCCAGGTAATGAAGGTCTGAATTCAGGCTCTGATGGTGTCATCTTGTTGTCAGGTTCTCCATCTGTCCTACTCAAGCCCCCAGGAAGTGCGCCGGAGTCTGATGAGAATATTCGTGCTGGTCAAACGGCGGTACTACACTTCCTTTAGGTTGCTGGGCCCGGAAACACTTTTTCCCATTGACTTACATGGGGAAAGAGTGGTCTGTACCTCGTTGGATAATTTTTTTAAAACTAAATAAACAACCCAGTATGAACACTTGTATAGCCCTTAGGGCTGTGCGATTATGGCAAAAATCATAATCACGATTATTTGGGTCAATAATTGATATCACGATTATTTTGACGATTATTCATTGACCATTTATTGAACTTTAAAACAAATAATATTTTACCAATAAACAAGATCAACAAATATGTTGGAGCGCACTTCCAAAACCATACTAAACATATATTAATATGATAAATAAAAATAAATTAGACCAAAATAAATTAAATCAAATGTGTTGCAGTGCACTGTCACAACCTACTGAAAACTCCTTAACATATAGCCAACATTTTGGTAAAACATATTCAACATATTCCACTCAGTTAAACGTTGAAGGCTGGCCAACCGTCATGGTCCAGAAGTAACAGGAAATAAATGTTGAACTACAATTCAAGACCAAATAAAAAAATGTTGGCCACCATGGCAAATGCTGGTAGGGCTGCTCATGTCATCTCTTAAAGATTTTTTGCAATAAACACCAGCCTGTTTACATGGTCTGGTTTCAGAGATGAGCGCAGGCAGGTGACAATATTGCCACCTGTACTGAAGACCCTCTCTGAAGAGGAACTTGTGGCAGTGCTGCCACATATGACACAGGAAAAGAAGAAAAGACTCTGAACCCTTTCTTTGCCATTATATAAAAATAGTGTTGCTACAAAAGTATAAATTAGGCTTACTAATAATACAACTCAGATCTGAAGCTACAGGAATCTGCTGCCAACGTGCAATAAAAAAGACAACATTAATAGAATCAAACCCTTTTTTTGTTGCATTTTATTAGAGTATAAAAATAAATGCCTTTAAAATAGGATGCAAGCAACACTAGTTTCTGAACTGATAATAGACTATAATCAATTTAAACAGAACAGATCTTAATGTTTGCATTCTTATACCATTTTGTACAATAATTATAATGAATAAGTTCAAACAAACTAAAACTTACAGCTGATTAATAACGGTATCTAACTTGAGTTTTTATTATATCAAAAACCTGTTGAAATGCTACTGTTATTTTTACTGTCCCCCAAAAGCGCGTCAGCAGCCTCCAGGAATGTTTCTTTCACAACTTCGCCGTCTTTGAAAGACTTCATGTGTTTCGCAAGAACGTGACTGACACGATAAGATGCTATGGTAGCAGCCTTGCTCTTGTTGTTGGGCCTGGTGAAAATGGACTGCTGTGCATTCAGCTGTCCTTTCAGGCCCCTCCCCTTTTGGGAGCGTAGGGCAGAATCAGGAGGGAATTCCGTCTCGTAGCGTTTGTGCACTGTTTTGAAATGCCGCTCCTAAATTACCCTTCTTCGATAAAGCCACGCTCGCATTGCAGATGAGACAGATGGACTTTGAATTGGAATAGATACAAAAATAATCATCCTCCCACTCGGAGTGAAAATTATATATTTTGGGCTTTTTTGCTTCTGCCATAATTGCGGTCTTGTGTGTGTGCGGACTGTCACTGCACTGCCCACTGCCCACCAGCCACGCCGGCCAATCACAAAGCTTTGATGCGTTCAAGTGCATTATTCTGGCACGGGAAGATTATGTTACAGGACATTAACGATAAAACAGAATATTGTTGTTCTATTTATCATTTGTAAAATATTATACTACATGGGCTGTATGATGTAAATCTTGTACCGTAAATGTTGTATTAAATAAAGTTAATATTACCGACGTAGATTAACGTTCCTGTAGCTTCTTATTGCACTTGCAATTGTTTTAGTTACTTGTGGGCTACTTAACATGAATAATCAGTTACTATCCTTTTACTCCATCACATTTCAAAAAGAAATAGGCTATTGTTATTTTAACTCCACCACAGTAATCCATCATCAGCTTTACTTTTTAGATAAAGTTTTAACTCACAATTGATCATAACAGGCTTCAACATATACATTTTTATATATTACCAAGTGGTTTCATGTACAACCCACACAAGTATCATGCTAAATGAAGCTCTGTTGCTTGGATATCACTAGATCCTGATGTCAGCGTAATATAAAAGTAGCCTACATAACGATTGATGTGTAAGTTAGCATAATTTACTAGCTAGCCGCTAGCTGCTAGCTGCCGCCTCGTTAATATAAATCCAGTACCATGCTGTCATGAACGCGCGGTGCTGTTACGTGTACGCAAATTCACGTGCTTAATGTGAACGAGCCTTTTGGGCGGCGTGGTTAAAGTTGCGCATGCTCTATAAGTGCACATACGGGTACTTCTCAGGCATGCCGGGTAATCTGTGACGTTTCGCTCTCTCAAAAGTTGGGCCATTTTGTCATCATGCGCTAATGAGCAACTCTCATAGGAATTAATGAGGCCCCACCTCCCACGCTGTATCCAGTTCTTATTATACATCCATGGTCCTCCTGCTCTTATATAGAGAACCGCAGTGGCGCGTCCTAAAACCCGGAAGTAAACTCCTTCCGTTTCCTTCGTCAAAAACGCAATGCAATTTCTCCATAGGATTTTGGAAAATAGCTGGAAATAAGGTCTGTGGTTGACACACATTTAAGAGACGGATCACGTTTTGTTCAGCCGGATAATATCCACATGTCTATCCTACTTTTATAATTTTCGAAGCATAAATCTAGTCGCAAGAAGCAAAATGCTAACGTTATGCTATAAAGGAACTACAGCAAGGTCGCTGCTTCAACGTCACGCCAACTTAAGATCCATATTCAAACATACAGATTGTAAATGGTACAAGTTGAAATGTTTGAACAGTTTGCAGGAGGCAGGTACTTGCTTTCAAGCAGAACATTGCAAACAAACTTAGCGGGAGTGTTTACGTGTTCGGTGTAATGACGTAAAACGGCCTGGACAACTTCTGTAGTCCTATTCAGCCACTTGTTAACAACCATCGTTTTTTAGACACGTAAACTCTTCAAAAATCACCAGCGGGGTCACTGCTGATGTATTTAATGTCGTAGAACAAAACGTGATCCGTCTCTTCAATGTGTGTCAAACACAGACCTTATTTGGAGCTATTTTCCAAAGTCCTATGGAGAAATTGCATAGCTTTTTATCGAAGGAACCGGACGTGGTAAAAATGCTAACTTACTTCTGGGTTTTAGGACGGATCACAGCGGTTCTCTATAGTGTATGAACTACAGGTCAGGTATAAAGGATGAGACGACCCTTTAATGATGCCTGGGGGCACTAGGGGGGCAGAGGTGGAGGCTCTTACCTTGGAGTTGAGGTCTCTGTGGTAAATGTTCTTGTAGTGCAAGTAGATCATTCCTCTGCTTATATCACAGGCCAGCTCCACCTTCTCTCTCCAACACAGTGGAACATCTTTCCCGACCAGAAGCTCCTCCAGACAGCCCCCGTTCATATACTGCAACAAACAGGACCAGGTTATACACAAGGCAAACATACATCTAACCAGGATGCATACAAACTGAGCAGTTGAACTATAAAACTGTTGCAATTCAGAGAAAAGCTACAAATGTGATTATGTGAACATAACATTTCCTATCTCATTATTAGCAATGACTCCATGTCTGGCTGCACAATAACCGTTTCATTATCAATATCATCTCATATCTTTGTAATCTCTAGTGTTTTTCCACTGCCTGTGAACACGCACAGCAACCATGACTCATGAGGTGTGAAAATAAAAAAAGGAGTAGAGATCACCTCTAAGATTGGATAGAGTCTGTCTTCTTTCACACAGATTCCAAGATATCTGGAATAAAAGAAAATGTGTTTGTTATAGTATTTATCGTCCACCTTCATTATGAGTTAGTTTAGTTTATCAAGGAAATTTGATAAGAGCGTTTAATAAAGGATTAATGATTAAAGACATTTCTCATATAAACAGTTTGTTTGTCAGTCCTTAGCGTGTGACTTCCGTGTTGGACTTTTAGTCCTTCATCTCTACTGGAGAAATATCTTTGAAAACCTGGCTTACTAATTTCCTAAAAACATCCCTATAGTTTTTATCAATTTTTTCGATGTATTACATTTGATTCATCCACAAATGCATTTAAAATATTTTCAAACTCACAAATACATTTGCAAATGTAAAACTGATCTGCAAATACGCAAACATTTTTTTACAATCACACACATCTTTGAATATCTCTTTAACATTTACAACTTTCGATCAGGCATTTGTGAATCCATTTTGTATTTGTCGACCAAAGATGCGCTTGTGGATCTCAAATCTCTGCTTGTGGATCGTCTTTTTACCGCACACAGAGTTTTGAGACAAAGGTTGCGGTCGAATAGTCCAAAAATCTATTCGACTGCAGCCAAACTTTCCGCCGGGCTGCAGTCGAATAGTCCATTTAGCTTAGGAACCTTCCTAATGGAGTGAAACGACCCGGAAGTCCCTCAGTGGCAGCCATGATAAGTGCCGTTCGAATTCTCCAAATGAAAGGAAAGGAGGTTTCAAACTTCCTTTATAACCTCCTTTAGCTTAGGAACCACTGGACCTCCCTTGACGAAAGGAGAGTAGAAAATGCTGCCCCACAATGCATTGCAGCCGCAGTATATGTCGTCACCAAGCGGCAAACTGTGGGGTAGAGCCGGGAAGCCAATACGGAAGTGCCACACACTGCAGTTCATATATTGGCCGATAGGCGATGGCTGCAGAAAGGAGCAATTTCCATAGACCCCCATGTTAAAATGCCCAACTTTACAGCAGAAAAAAACATGTTTCTACCCCTGGCTCCATACATTTTATTATCGATATGGTTAGATTCCACCTTCATGATTATGGATCTGTGAGTGAATTGTTTTCTAACGCGCAGGGGCGGATCTAGACAAATATTCATGGGGTGGCAAGAGGGTGGCAGGAGATTTTGAGGGGTGGCATCCCCTGACAGAAGTATATGCTGATTTAAATCGCAATCATATCAATCAATTAAGGGTGTAACGGTACACGTACCCGTACTGAAATTATTCGGTACGGGCCCTTCGGTTCGGTACACGTGTGTACCGAACGAATATAGCGTTAAACGTACAAAATTGAGAACATGAACAACTTTCTGGAAGTAATCTATATCATAGAGCGACCAAGTCATTTCATTGGACGAGAGGCATACTATGAGAGCTGGTCACAGGGATGCTTTCAAATGTAGTCAGTAATTTGAGGAACTGTCGAAATGGCGAACGCAGATAAAGTTGAGCTGAAAATCCTCCAGCATCATTGAAATCTCCGGTTTGGGAACATTTTGGTTTCACAGTTACGTACAAGGATGATGGACAAAGACAGGTGGACCGAACCAAAGCTGTTTGTCGGCATTGTTCAATTAACATTGGTTGGCAATACATCACACTCATTTGAAAAGGCATCACCGAATGTGAATATCACCGGTACCAAAAGAAAAAAGACTGAAGTGCAAACCCAACTCCCACTAGCATGTAAGCCTCCACCACTCGCAAAGAGTCCAGACCGAGCCAAAGCTATTACAAACGCCAAATATCCTTATGTTGCCATGTTAGCAAAGCGCTACCTGGCTGTATCTGCTACCTCTGTCCCTAGAGAGAGGGTGTTCTCCACAGCAGGAGACATTGTTAGTGCCATCAGATCTGCCCTTTCAGCAAGCAATGTGGACAAGTTCATCTGTCTTTAAACAACATGAAAATACAATGACAAGCAAGTCCTAATGTCAAGCTGGCTGCTTAGGTACAGTACAGTTCAAATACAGATTATTTCAGTTCATCGAAATGCTGCACCTTAATGTTTATTTTACTATATTTTGTATTTATTTGAATACATTAGTCACAGTTTAATAATAATTTAAAAAATGTTTTTAATGTTTTGTGATCATTTTTTCTGCTGTACCGAAAACGTACCGAACCGAACCGTGACCTAAAACCGAGGTACGTACCGAACCGAAATGTTTGTGAACCGTTACACCCCTACAATCAATGTTAACTTGGAAAGCCACAATATTAATATTTTAACTCAATCACATAGGTGATATTATTGTGGCACATCAGTAAAGCCTTACATATAAGGTGGCAAAAGACGTAATGTAATGCATTTTAACTGAACAATAACTGAATGAGTTTGTCTCACTCTTAGACCAGCAGGGGTACCAAATCTATGCAGACTGCTGCAATAAGTAAATTAATTAACTGTCTCATCGATGTTTGTCTGAATGAATATGATACTATTAACAATCATATTATTCCTATCAGCTGTCAATCACTGTTAATAAATAATAATAATAATAATAATAGATTTAATTTGTTAGCGTTTTTACAGGTGCTCAAAGACGCTTTACAGATATAGTGAAGAACTGTTATGATTCACATATTCATTTATTATTGAATAAACTATATTTTCTGGAGGAGTTAATGATGAATGTTCATCAAGATGCTTGCTCACCCTCCTTCAAATTTGAAAAACAAGTAATTATATCATTATTGATATACAGTTACAACCTTGACTTTACATCAGAAAGAACAAACATTAAAGAAGTGACTAACTGCATCAGTTAGGGTTAAACAACGTGTATTCAGCTAAAACATCGCTGCAGTTATTATCCAGTGGAAGGTCCTTACCTACTGGCCTAGTTAAATCAAAGTGGTTACTTTCTGTTGGCTGGGCAGTGTAGTTTTACACACCGTCTTATTTTACTTTCTCAGGACTTAAAACTGTTTTTTGGGGGCAGACCCCTCAAAGAAAAACATATATACACGCATACAAGGTCATCATCTTAACAGTTTGTTATTCTCATCGAGTCATCCGTGAGCAGAGCATCAAGTTGGCATGTCTATTACAGCTGAATGCGGCGATTACTATTTTGTTCAGCAAAACGCCTCACAAACTTATTAAGATCAACAGCTGTAGTGCGTTTTGATTCAATGCTGAGTACAGCCAAACTGACAGTCTCTTCTCTGTCATTGTAGACCGCAATTACCTCATTCCTTCAGGGCTTGGGTCCGAAAGGCTTCTCGTTTTGCGCCGTCCCCACGTTCAAGTGAATTCGCCACCAATCATATTTCCACTCTCGCGCCAGGACCGGGGGAGGGGTTACATGACGTACATCTTGTGCTGCATTCACTTGCACTCGGACATTAGAGACTTTCTCTCATAAATGTCCGATGAGCCACAACTTTTCTTTCAAAACAAAGATGCCAACTGGGGTGGCAAGGCTATTGTTTAGGGTGGCAGTTGCCACCCCATGCCACCCCGGTAGATCCGCCCCTGCTAACGCGACCCTTTTATTTATATTAGGTCTTAAAGTTTGTGCATAAATTAGGGCGTGGTCACATTGAGTGACGGCTCTGTCAAGTGCCTGCCGCTGTTAGCTTCTTGTCTCTCTGCTAGCTGCTCCGTGAAGCTAGCTACAGGGACTCTGCCTGCTCAGCTCATCCAGGAAACACAACTTGTAGCCGGCTGTGGTTGTTTGTTCTTCATGCTTATATATCGGACTATTGTGACTCGCTCTGCGGTTAAAACAGACGGTGCATGAATGCGGTTTTGCGGTAAGTGAAATTCTAGTGCTTTATTTATGTGTTAATGATTTTAATCAGCTACGTAATGAATGGTAAGGCTTGGGTTAGCATGTAAGCTAGTGGTAGCTACATCGGTGCTAACGATTGTAATCGTAGCCTCCAAGTTAAAATCATAGACTGTATATATAAAGGTTAAAACTAAATAGACAAGTGTTAAGTGGGATAATACTGTTGAACAAACGGCTTCTGTTTGAGGTTGATAAAATAAGGTTACATCCTTGTAACTTAGAGATATTTTATTATGTAGGTAGAACTGTATGCATCTAAGGTTAATTTAAATTGGCTATGCTCAAGTATGTAGACAAGCTAATGTCGAAGTAGTGTATGTGAAATCAACCTCACAATAAGATGTGTGTATATTACAATTATTAATGTCATATTTCAAGATGATTACTTAGATATTACAATATGGTTGGTTGAGCTGGAGTTCATTATTGAGCTTACACGTTAACGTCAGTCATCTGAAGAACGAACCCAAACCTTGTTGTTTTTATTAATTGCATTACCAAATGGGTATCAAATAAACAGTAAGCATTGGTAACACAACTTCCAAAGTTACAGTAAAATAAAAAGGACACTGACTCGGACAATACACAATCCAACATGTTCAACAGAAGAGAATCAGTTATATTGTTTGTACACATGGTACTTTACATATATATATATATATATATTTGTTTAAGGTGTCCAGGTGATGCAGACAGGCTGGACCAGAGAGTGAGAGACAGAACTGGACTCCTCACAGCAGTGAACTTCAGCACAGGTACAAAGACTCTTTTTGCATACTGTACAAAGAATCAAGAAAGATATTGGTTTAAATGAATGAAGTATTGACTTGAATACACTGATATACATTCCATTAAACAATACTAAATACTAGATCACCTACACATCAGTGAAGTTGAGGGTTTTTTCCATGCAAAAAGTTACATTTAGATGATAACAAGCAGTATGACTTTGTCAGCTTTCTAATTTAATGTATTGAAGGCAAAGATATTTAACACATAGTGAGAACTGCTACTATTTATCTCTCAATATTGTCTGTAAAAAACGTGGTAAAAGTTATTCTTTCAGTGAGACAACAGAGCAAGCTTGCACTACGTTTTGATAACAGTTAAATATTATTTTGATAATAACATATATTTCAATGTTGATGAACTTCATACTGTTCATTCATAATCTGATTGTCTTTGTAGCTCATTGTTGAAATAA